TCAACCCCAATTCGGCTCTTGGGCAAATGGGGAGTGACGGTATTGCAAGGTATATCTCTTGCAATCAAGAAATGGCCCCATGAATTGGTATAGAGGTCAATCTATTCAGCTAAAGACTCGGTAGTAGGAGGAAACAACCAGGATGGAGCTAGTTGACATTTGGAAAAAGGTAGGAATTGGGATTGAATCCCGATCTTGCACAAATGATAGAAAAACTGAAAACAGTCATTGAATGAGTGGTCTTTGGGTTTGACTCTAGCATATCCAAATGACAACAAATGGTCGTTTAGAGCAGGTAGAATGGGGGAGGATAACTCAGGGAAATATGCATGCAACCAGAACTGGTATAACCAGAATGGGCCTCCAGATCTTGCAAAGTTGGAAGTAATAAGATCAGATAAGCCTCTATACAAGGACGCTAACAAAAATGGAGCTAAGGCCATGGGTTTCCCTTTGGATAATGCGATAGCCAATTGGGTAAGGTCCTTGGTAATCTGGATAGCAGGAGCGCACAACAAATACCTACACAACCATAATAATAAAAATCCTATATGTTCTTTTTCATCTACGTCAGTCCCTTCTTCTCCTAACATTTCTTTCAAGAATGGTCCATGTGATTGCACAAAGGGTTTAGCCCCCTTTTGTTCTGGAAAGTAAAAGGAGGTTTCCTCATCCTGAAGGAGATAATTGATTTCATCTCCTCCAGGCTTTAAACCCGTTAGAAAACAAACGTCCCTTAATATAGGGGCCATCATGCCACAGTGCAAGTGAAGTGAATTAGTGGTGGGGGACCAAAAGTGCAAAGAGACAAAAAATAATGCTCGGTCAAAGGAAAAGGGAATCTTACTAAGCTGGATGAGGTTAAAGATACCCATCCTTTTCCACTGCTCTCCTTTTGCTGCTGATACACGGTCCACCCAATCGTTCCATTGGGGCATTGGTGGGTGCCAATTTCTGACGGAGAGAGTTGGACAGTCCCCTTCCACTGTTAGATAGAGAGTTTTGGAGAAAGGAAGGTGTGGTTTGGCTTGTGGATAAATTGGAGATAAGGAAAGGGGGAATAGATTAGGAAACACTGGGCCAAGTCCCTTAGCGTTTTCAGAGACGTCCATCAACGTGTTAGAATCCAATTCGCTCTGATCTAGGGTTTTGATCATTGATTTTGTTGGTTGTGTATGTGATGTTGCTTCTGGAAAAGGGTTCTCCAAGTTCAGATCACTTTGTTTCAGTTGTTTTGAAGTCATTTTGTAGAGAAGGGTTAGAAGCAGAGAAGTTTAGAGAAGAAAGAGGGATGATGGAAAGAAGAGTCTGCAAAGGGAGTTGGTTTAACGAAAAGCCGTGTGTAGTTGAAAGGTTGGGATTACTGCTATAATTAATGAGGGATAAGATGGGTTATCATAATCGATATGTTTTGGGAAGTGAATCAAGATAAAGCTGATAAGATTATAAGATGTATACAAAGTTACGATGCAATGGGTTTATTTGAATTTTGGAAGCTGAAGAGTTAAAACGGCTACCAAAATTGGAGGGCATTGTTGACACCCATTTTGGCATTTGGGTTGTAAACCCATCTTTGGCCCAATCATGAATCCATAAACCTAAATGTCCTTAGCACCCATTTTGATAATTGGGTTCTCGCCCTAATTAGATTTGATGAACAGTGAAGTAAGTAGTAGTATGGCCAAGAATGTAAAACCTGTGAAGCAATAATGTGCTGGAAGATTGGGCCGAGAGGATAATGGACCGAAACATGTAACAATGAGATTGGGCTATAAGATATTTTGGTGAACAATTGATCTAGTCTTCGTTTGGGGTAGTCTGATATAGTTAGGAGAATGTTGGGTTTCATGCGTTACATGGATTGTTGGTTGAATGACATGGCAGGAATTTCAAAGGAGCAAGGTTACATACAAGAGCATTGCAGATAGGATAGAATATGTTATAATTTTAAATACATTAGATAAGCGCTATATATTTATCTGGTGTTCAAATAAAGATGTTAGTGTTTAGTTAGGATTAGTTAGATTTTGAACAATTATTTAAATGTATTGGAATATAACTAAAACGCATGTATTTAGGATTTTTGTTTTATTTTTTACTCTATAAATAAACAGAGAGGCATGCTGTGCAAAAGGTCCAGCACCCTCAGAATCATTATTATTATTTGTTTGCTTTCTCAAGCTTTTCCAAGAATAGCATCCTTGCTATTTCTTCTTTCTTTCCTTCTATATTTCTCAATCTTTCTTTCTATCTAATTCTCTCTCTCTCTATCCTCATTCTTTCCCTTTCTTTTCTTGCTATATCTGTTTTCCTTCCTTTTCTACTCTCTTAATCTTTTACTATAATTTATTCATTGAAAAGTCCTTTTAACTAAGTCAATTCTTGAACTCTAAGAGGAGTATCACTGTTTTCTTTATCCTCACATCGTCTGAAAGTCAACCCTTGAAAGAGATTACAAGTTGACAATTTACAATCGAACCATACAATTGGTTCTGGCATGCCCATTTTCCATCAATTTAAGATCGGATCCTAGGAGCTTATTTTAGGGTCAACACATTGAAAGCCTCGGTTATAAATAAACACCATCTATGACCAGAATAAAGGTCCAGCACCCAAAACACACCCAACGTCTATAAACACATCCATGGGCCATCCACGTTTTATTTAGGTGGTAATGCAACTAAGGTATTAGTCTAAGGTATTTAAGTCAAACTTGTTTATACCAATAGCTCACTCCCGTTGCTCGTTGATTTCAGGCTCCTCGCTGGTCCACGCTTACGATGCAATGACCTACTGACGTATATGCATTTTATATAGGAACCCGTCAGAGAACGGTCCGACGATGGTAGGGTGTAAATTGTAGTAATGACCAGACTCGTGTGAACAACTCAGTGATCAGAATGTGATGTTAATTTTTCACTCTTCTTATTCAAACCATCCAGTGACGGAGCTAGGATTTCAAGTCAAGAGGGGCACCGTGCCACATATATATATATATATATATATATATATATATATATATATATATATATGTAAACATTACAAATATAAAATACAAAAGAAGAAGAATTTTTTTTTTCAAATATACACGTTAAAACGATGAATTTTAAGAAGTAGAAAGTGAAAAAAGAAAGAAAAATGAGAGAACTTTAAAAGGAAAAAGTTAAGAGTTTCAATTGAGGAGGGAAATTTAACTTTTTCTTTTAAGAAAATTTAATAAATTTGAAGAGTAAAAAAGAAAATAAAGAGATAATTTTAGAAACTACAAAATTTGAAGGGGCACTGTATAAAATTTTTCATATATATAAAAAAATGTTAAAAAAAATTACTACATATATTATAGAGGGCGGGACCAGGCCAGCAGGGGCACTATATACAATTTTTCATATATATAGAAAAATATATAAAAAATTACTACATATATTATAGAGGGCGAGGCCAGGCCAGGAGGGGCACGTGCCCCTCCTGGCCCTTCATTGACTCCGTCCCTGAAACCATCAATATTGCGGGCTCTATTCAGGTTTAATGTGCCCCTCCTGGCCCTTTATTGGCTCCGTCCCTGAAACCGTCAATATTGCGGGCTCTATTAAGGTTTAATGTGTTATAGGTGGTCTCCTTTTTCCTACTAAATCACCCCCGGCCCTCGCTCTGAAAGTAGCACCCAGGTTCACGCTTGCACCCAGGACATAACATTCAATGCTAAGTCGGCCTGAACCTCACTCTGAAGAGTAAGACCAGGATCACACTGCGTCCAGGACATGGAGTCATGCCCTCACTTACTCCCATTTAACCATCACCATATTGATCAGCTTTGCTAAGACAGTGACATATTAATCGCTTCCTAGAACCCATTGCTTCAACTCTCACTCATTTGTTCTATACCCCTACATAAACTTTGGTGATCCAAATATAAACCTTGGTGTTAATCGCTTCCTCTGACAGAACGTATTATGGGTTGTCACTTAAAACATACTGGGGACCTTCTTTGACAACTAGTCTAACGTTGGTAATCTTTTCCATGGATGATCAGTGACGGACCGATGTAGAAAATTATTTGAGAGGGGCAACAATATTTTTTTTTCAAACTACTCTAATATATATATATATATATATATAAATAAAAATAAATAAAATTAAATTAAATTAAATTAAATTTTAATTAATATTTTTATTTAGCACAATTCAACGTGATTGCAAAATTTTAAATGATAATAAGCAAATAAAAGAATTTCATTATTATCAAAGTACACACATATATATAAATATCTATATATATATACATATTTATAAATATCCAAAGGTAAAGACAATGAAAATTGTGTTTCTTGGTAGAACTGATCAATCTTCAGTAGTTTGTGAGGGAAAAAGAGACGATGCATGTGACAAATAGCAAGAAATACGAGAGAGTTAGAGAAAGCCGATTAGAACCCCAAAAATGCAATGGGGACAGATATATAGTGTAGTTTTGTCCTGATTTATGCTCCGTTTGGTAGGATGGAAGAAATTTTGATGGAAGGGAGAGAAGAATGGATTAATAAAACATCTTTAGGGAAGAGATTATGTTATTCCCTCTTTTAATTTGGTTGGATAGAAGATAAGAAAATAGGACAATACATTATTTTGTTTTGTTTACGAGAGAAGAAAAAAGATAGTGCTAATTATAAAGAAAGTTTTGTAATTTAAAAATATTTATAATAGCCTTGCCTTTCTTCTTTTTGTCTTCGGTCTATATTTGGAAGGATAAAAACTAGTGAAGAAGAAATGATGAGCACTAGTGAGGGAATTTTTAAGATTTTAACAAAATTATGGATATGCAATATAAATAAAATAAAAAAATCAGCGGAGGCCTCTGCCGCCACTTAGCACGCTGTATTAAAGGACTATATAGCGGGGTGCAAGAAACTCGCTCCCTTATAGGTTTACCTGCGGATTCAGTAAGCCCTTAAATTAGAAATTTGAAAGCCATATTAACCTAATTGATTCTGATTTGAACATCTGAATTACAGCAGCAACTCTTTATTCTGTATAGCAGATATGCATGGCAAAGCATGACATTGTTTAAACAAGCAAAATGTTTTCAACACCAAACAAAACATCACCAATTTGACAAGCCACACATATAGGTCTACCTTTGTCTTAGTGGCTTTGGGTCTTGACTCCCAAGCTTAAGTAACGTTTCAAGAGTGGCAGAGACAAGGAAAGAAAAAATATCCAGAAGCACAGGGAGCTAGTTCCCTTATTATGGGGCCAACTTCACAACTTCAAATGCAGCAATGAAGGAGCTCCATCGAGCCCTTTCGAGGTGTAGTGAGACTGATAGTCTTTTATAGAGGTTTCGCGGTAGACTTGGGGGCTTTCCTCTGATATCAACTCCTTGATCGGTCCATAAACTCTCGAGGAATTTCCTACCACCATTTGTGGTGAGAAAAAGGATGCCACTGAAATTCTTGGCCCTACATGTCTCGCCATTACTCTATGATACACACTCTTAACCCTGTCATTACTGATGAGCTGCCCAAAATCAAACAGGAAGAAAATTAATCAATGCGATTCATTTTGTACTCAACTTCACATTAAAATTGGCATAATTACTTTTTTGTAGACTTACCTGCAAAAGATCTCCAATGTTTACTACTAGCGCTCCATGCTTCGGGGGTACATCAACCCACTGATTCTCATGATGAACTTGGAGGCCACCTATCTGGTCTTGTAGAAGTATGGTGAGGAAGGAACTGTCAGTGTGGCTGCTAGTACCCAAAGTTAATTCTGGTTCAGGACACACAGGGTAATAATGGCCCACAAGTGAAAGTTGCTTGGCACAATCCATGTCTTTCAAATGGTTGGGGTCGAGTCCAAGGGCCTCCGATATTAGTTCAAAGACTGTGTCCCCCAATATCATCACTTGCTTAGAGTAATCAATCATTATATCACTGCAAATTGTTCAAAATACATCACATAGACAGTTCTAAATGTTCAAGTTGCCAAAGAAACAATTGCCACTAGAGAGTATCATGTAATAAGTCCACAACAAGTGTTTTTGAGGTATGTTTTGTGCAGACCAAACAGCAGAGGATCAACTCACAGCAGAAATTCAAAAAATTTCAAAAATTTTACAACAATGGTTACACCCACAAAAATAAAAATAAAAAACACGAAGCTCTGAATTATAAGTGCATTCAATACTCGAAAATAAAAGGGAAAATTGATCTATGATCGATTTCATAACAAGTAAATAGGAATTCTAGAAGTTCTACAATCTGTTAAAGAAAAAAGAACAAATCGATCTTGTAAGATTTTTATTTCGTTTCAAGTCAACTAGTCCTATCCAAATTGCATCCATCTATGTACCATTTTAACCATCGCTTGGTTTATTCAGAAACTAAGTACTACAATCTGCTAACGAAAAAAAAGTTAATAAATAAATAAAAAAAACAGGAATCGATCTTGTAAGATTCCCAATAAATTCCTCCAGTAAATACTATTTTATTTCATTTTAAGTCAACTAATTCTATCCAAATAGCATTATATATGTACTGAATTAAAAGTTTACAAACATTCTAGTCTCATCACATACCTGCATATCTCAGGTAATTCATCACGATCAGGAGGATTGGGAGCCATAAAGCAAAAAATGGTGTCCCTCCAATCAGCAGCTGGGGAAGTATACAGAAGAAAATTGGACATAAACATCACCTTTCTCTTGAAATCCCTTGTGTACCACTTTTTCTTCTCCTCATTGTCTTGCTCATTAAATCTGCATATCCCATCTATCATATCATCCAAAACACTCACCGGAATTCCATGATTGACAACCTGAAAGAAACCCCACTTCTCACAAGCCTCCAAAACTTCTCCGATAATCTCTCTGCGTTTGGTTGCATCTCTATGAACACCATGGAGATCGATAACTGGAATAGTCCTGTGTTTGGATCCAGAGTAGTCACCAAGCTGAGGTTTTTGGTGAGGTTGGTCGTGTTTGTGATTGATAAATATTGGTGGGATCTTTGTTACACCAGCATCTACAAGTCCCTTGACACCAGATTTTGTATCATCAAAGGCTTTGAGTTCGGTGTTACGGTCATAACTGGTCTCACTTGGGGCCTGAAATTTGACTGTGCTAGTTGCCATCATCTCTCTGTCTCTCGATCTCTAGTGAAATAATGAGTCTGTAGGGATTGAGTTTGGGTTATGTGAATGTAGCAAAGAAACATGTTGCTCATGGGTGAAAGAGCATGTTGACTAGATGATATTTTGTGTATAGTTTATTGTTGGTTTGCATTATTGAAAATTTGAAAACACATCACTGTCGAGTCAGTGCATGCACTTGTAATAAGAACAATATTTGCACATTTGCAATTGAAGTGTCAATATTTGTGAAATATATGGCTCAAATTGAGGTTGCATACTTCAGCTGGGGACCACTAATTTGTGTGATCAGCAAGCATTTTTCATCACCACTTGCCTCAGCACCTTGGCAGCTAAGGAGTGTAATCAACAAGTTGTGTATGTGTGGTCACCAAGTAGCAGTTTTATATGTGGACAACAAGTATGCTTGGTGAGCAAGATATATTGATGTTTTCTTGGCTATAAATAGCCTATGACCATGGCATTCCGAATCATCCAAGATCATCATCAGTTTGAGCATTTTTGTAATATCAGTTAGAGTGAGAGAGCTTGTGGGTGTAATTGGGTTTTGGGTGTGAGCCACTTTGCCTTGTATCTCTTTATTTCACAGTGAAATATTATTCTGTCTTTTTCCCGTAGATGTAGGCATTGCTGAACCACGTAAATTCTTGTCTCGTTTGTGTGTGTGCCTATTTATTTTCTTGTCATTTAGTTTTCTTTTGTTCTCATAAACTCCTATTTGATCCTTTTTTCTTAACAAACTTAAATGGATTAATTGCTTTCTGATCAATTTAAGCTAATCCTACAAAGTCAACTCTGAATAAATTTGATTTATTTAGTGCTTTACATACTGTTGCCCAAAGAATGATCCAAGAGGGGAGTAAATTGGGTCTTTTCGAAAACTATAGGAAATTTTTCGATTAAAGGATTTAAGCGCAAGAAATTGAGGAATTGTTTAGACCTTAAACGAATTGAATGGAGGATCTGCAATAGCTTTTCACACAAGGATGCCCTCTAGTGCATAGGAAATCCTGGCTCTTGGATGGATCCTGATACAGTGGGTTCATGCTCTGCCATGAATCTTTGGTTCTCTTTATCTCCTTTGTTTTGTTTGAATGCTCTCTTCTTTGTAAAACACATGGCCTGTCATGACTTTTATTCTGTTGTATTGTGCTGTAATTTGGTTTAGATTCTTTGCTTGGTCTTGTCCTTTTGGACCCCTGCATGTGTATTCTATTTTTATCTATTCAAGCTGGGGGTGACAAATTACTGTTGGCTATAGTTTCAACCAACTAAATAATTTCTAAGTGAAGAGAGGAGAGAAACAAATATTGTATTGAATTGAATTATTTGTTGTGTTCATCTCTTAACAACAAATACCTTACCCTATATATACTATTCTCCCATAGACCTTTGAACTTTTCAAGACAATCTCAACCACATACATGATACATGCACACACTTAATACATGTACACTCTTGATACATGCATGTACAATAATAGATGCATGAATGAACATATACATGAATAAACATGGCATTAATTATTTTTAACACACCCCCTTAATGCCATGTTGTGACACCCAACAATTCTCTAAAGTATTCAAACTTATTTTTTTTGGAAGTACTTTGGTAAAAATGTCTGCAACTTGGTCTTCGGTCTTGCAATACTTGAGTTGAATCTCATCCTCTTCCTCTTCTTCTTGAATTTCTACATTGCCACTTCTTTAATTGCATTTTCAAAGTTCTTCGGTTCAACAACACAAAAATTGCAACTTGCATACACATCACTAAGACTTTTCATTCTTCTTGGAGTTGAACTTGGAGATGAAGAATTTGAGTTTGATGGGGAAGTTGGGATTGATTGTAAGCTAGATACGGGAGACATTTCATGTGGAACTTCAAGAAAATCTTCATTTTTACTTTCTTGATTTCCTGATTCTTCATTGAAAATGAGGATTTGATCTTGAACTTTCTTCTCTTTCCAATCCCAAGCAGCCTTCTCATTAAAGAGAACATCTGTACAAATAATCAATTTATTCTTCTTCAAATTAAAGAGTATATAACCCTTTGATTTTGAGCTATAACCCACAAAGATGCATTTTTCACTAGCTTCATCAAGTTTGTGCCTCACTTCTCTTGGAACATAAGCAAAACAAATACACCCAAAAACTTTCAAGTGTTTCAATGATGGATTCATTCCACTCCATGCTTCAAATGGAATTTTATTCTCCACCGCTTTTGTTGGACTCCTATTCATCAAGTAAGCAGCCGTATACACGGCTTCACCCCAAAATGATTTAGGTAGCCCCTTCTCATGAAGCATTGATTTTCCCATCTCAATGATTGTTCTATTTTTCCTTTCTGCCACTCCATTTTGTTGTGAAGTGTACCCAACCGTTAATTGTCTCTCCATGCCAATATTTTCACAAAACTTTTCAAACTCATTTGAGTTGTATTCTCCACCTCTATCACTTCTTAACACTTTGATAAGATGGCCACTTTGCCTTTCAACAAGCTTTTGAAATATTTTGAAAATAGAGAACACATCTGATTTTTGTCTCATGAAATAAATCTATGTCATTTTTGAAAAATCATCAACGAAAATAATAAAATACTTGTTACCCGCTTGAGTTGGTGTTGTCATCGGTCCACACACATCGATATGAACAAGCTCCAATGGTGCTTTAGCCCTCCATGCCTTATCTTTCGGAAATGACTCTCGATGATGCTTGCCAAGAGCACAACCTTCACAAACTTCTTTAACTTCTTGTATTGTTGGCAGCCCATATACCATGCTATTTTGTTGTAAATTCTTTAAGCTTTGGAAATTCAAATGGCCAAGTCTTCTATGCCAAAGCCAAGACTCATCAACAACATCCATCTTCAAGGCCATATTTTTTGAACATGAAAAAGTGAGAGGAAAGCTTCTATTTTTGCCCATCTTGATTTTTGCTACAATATGATTTTGTCCTCCCTTGTCATAAATTTTGCAAAAGTCTTCATCAAAATGAATGGAGTACCCATGCTCTACAAGTTGTCCAACACTTAACAAATTTTGCTCCAAATCCGGAACAAGTAACACATCCCGAATATGCTTTTTTCCTTTTTTTGTCTCCATGGCAATAGTACATTTTCCCTTTGCTTGGACCAAGGCACCGTTTCCCATCCTCACTTGAGAATTGGATGAAGAATCAATCTCCAAGAATATGTTTTTATCTCCGGTCATGTGGTTACTACACCCACTATCAAGAAACCACACATCATCATTTTGTTCTGATGTCGAGTGACAAGCATAAAACATGCTCGTTTCACCTTCTTGCTCTTCGGAAAAATTAGCTTGCTGATTTGTTTTCAACCAGCAATCTTTTTGAACATGTCCAAATTTCTTGCAATTGAAACATTAAGGTTTTCCCCGAAACCAACAATCTTTGTCAACATCGCTACTTCTCTTGCAAATTCCACAATTTTGTTGAATGGACTCTATATTTCCACTTTTCTCAAAATTATTTCTTCCTCTTCCGTGTCTTCCACCTCTAGAAGATTCACCTTTGGATCGATCAAAACTTGATTGGTATTTTTCTTGATTTTTGGAACTAACATTGAGCTTGGATTGAAAAGCACTTTCAATTGTCTTTTCGGAGCGCCTACTCAACCTTTGCTCAAATGCTTTTATGGAACCCATCAATTCTTCAACACTCAAGTTTTCAAGTTCTTTAGTCTCTTCAATAACAGCAACAATAAAGTCATATTTTTCAGGCAAACTAATTAGAATTTTTTCAATAATTCTTTGATTAGAAATATCTTCCCCATAGGTCTTCATTTGATTTACCACCTCCATAAGTTTAGAAAAATAATCTTTCAACAACTCCATTTCTTTCATCTTCATATTTTCAAAAACTCTTCTCAATGATTAGAGTTTTACAGTTCTTACCTTCGTGCTGCCTCTATACTCCTTCTCGAGAATAGCCCATGCCTCATTTGCTTTAAAAGCATTGATAATTTTGGGAAAGATTGTATCAGCAACTCCTTGTTGAATCAAGCCTAAAGCTTTTGCATCTTTCTTCTTATGATCTTTCAATTGTTTTCTTTGGGCATTTGTCAAAGTTGTTGTATCCTTCGGTTCATCATACTCATCTTCAACATAATCCCATAAATCATATAAGAGAAAAATGGTCTTCATCTTCACATACCAAAAATCATAATTTTCTCCATAAAAAATAGGAAGTGCTGATTGATGGGCACCTTGGTTTTGATTGCCTGTAGTCGCCATCACGATGGATCTTCTTCGGGGTTTGTTTTCCCGTCAATAAGCTTCACGCCCAGTTTGCTCTTGATCGAAATCAAGCTCTGATACCACTTATGTTGGCTATAGTTTCAACCAACTAAATAATTTCTAAGTAAAGAGAGGAGAGAAACAAATATTGTATTGAATTGAATTCTTTGTTGTGTTCATCTCTTAACAACAAATACCTTACCCTATATATACTATTCTCCCATAGACCTTTGAACTTTTCAAGACAATCTCAACCACACACATGATACATGCACACACTTAATACATGTACACTCTTAATATATGTATCCACTTTATACATGTACAATAATAGATGCATGAATGAACATATACATGAATGAACATGGCATTAATTATTTTTAACAATTACGACACGATCCGCCAACATGACTCGAACACGACACGAGATGAGCAGGTTTGGATTGACCTTAAACGAGTTCGGGTCATAAACGGGGTTGACACGATTAACCATTTACTTAACCGCATCGGGTTAGAGTTGTGGGGTTCAACCCATTTATTAACCCTTTAACTCAACATGTTATAATCGTAAATATGACATATATAATATGTTACCTATTTAAAACTAATTATTATGGATAGTTAAGTCATTTCAATATAAACCTTGTCGTTGCCTTATGATTTTTTTCTTATTTTGAATATTTGGGTTAATTGTGACAATTTTTTATTATTTATTATTTGATTAAATATTAAATGTTTCATTTTGATAAACAGGTCATTAAACGGACTAACACGTTTATCCGTTTAATAAACGGATTGGGTTAGTGTTGAGGGTTCTTGACACGATTATTAAATGGATTGGGTTTGAATTTACCTGTTTAGTATATTACCTTTATATTGATACGACACAACCCACGAACACAAATGATCACCCTTAATACAAGCTTACCCAATA